AATAGAATCAGTGATGTACCACAAATTGAGCTAAAATTGCATCGTATGTCTTGGGTAAGTTTATCCATGAAATTTTAGTAAAAGGAGGTAAATGACGGTCAGCCAACAGTTGGCCAACAGTCGGCCAACAGTTGGCCGACTGTCGGCCAACTGTCGGCCAACTGTCGGCTGACTGTTGGCCAACTGTTGGCCGACAGTTTTTTGGGGGAGCTGTTCTTCACTTTTTCCAATTTCTTTTATTTTAATCCTGTAAAATTCACCTATATTGATGATATGATTTTGATTTTTCTATACTAGGTTAATATTTGTTATTTCTAGATGGTAAGAAGAACTGTCGAGACTTTTTATTAACAACTTGAAACATGGAGCATTATTCCAATACAAAATTGAGAGCTTACTTAAAATATGAAGATGGACTAGCAGTTTTGGATCTGAAAGAGAAAGTACTATCCACAGTAGCTGATGCAGTTACTGAACTGAGTGAAATAGAGAAACTTGTGCTGGATAGAAATAAGCTGACTGAATTACCAGCAAGTATCAGCAGGCTGAAAAATCTTACTGTGCTAACATTGGATGGTAACAAGCTAACAAAACTACCTGCTGAGATTGGTGACCTCAGGGAGCTAAGAGGGCTGAGTGTGAGTAACAACCAGTTGGTTGGTTTACCTGCCAGTATACAGAGACTGACCAAGCTTGAATGGCTGCACTTGCATGGAAATAAACTACCTGAACTACCTGCTGGGATTGGTGACCTCAGGGAGCTGAGGGTGCTGAGTGTGATTATCAACCAGTTGGTTGGTTTACCTACCAGTATACAAAGGCTGACCAAGCTTGAAAGGCTGCACTTGAGTGAAAATAAACTAACTGAACTACCTGCTGAGATTGGTGACCTCAGGGAGCTGAGGGGGCTGTGGGTAAGGAACAACCAGTTGGTTGGTTTACCTACCAGTATACAGAGGCTGACCAAGCTTGAAAGGCTGCACTTGAGTGGAAATAAACTAACTGAACTACCTGCTGAGATTGGTGACCTCAGGGAGCTGTTGGTGCTGAGTGTGATTCGTAATCCTTTAACTGTTGACGCAATAAGACGTGCCTTGAAGTTAAGGAAGAAAGGAGTACGTGTAGTTGGTGTTGCAGGTAAGCACAGCGGATAGTGTAGTTATTAGGAAGTTCGAAAAAAACTGAGATAGAATTACACTATTTGCCTGGGAAAGGGAAGTCATTTTTAATTTTCGGTTATCGGGGCTTTCGCGAATTTGAGGGTTTGATAAATCATTAAGATATGCTACAAACTGTACTTTTAAAATCAATGGTAAGTTTCTTGTACGTATTTATTCATTTTAATTACTTCACCTGTTTTAAAATTTCAAATCAGCTGTGAAAAATAGCTATTATCCAGGGTAGGGTAATATCTAAGGTTAATGAACACCAAACATTGTATTCCATCACATCCTTACTAAATGACTCACAGGTTGTGTTTTCACGAACTTTCAGAGGCAGAGAAGCGACGACCGGAAATACGTCTTCGGGGAAGGAAGAAAATTAATACGAGCTCCCCTAGAAACGCCTGCGGGGGAGGCGATGTTTTCACTGTGGTCGATTTGCTGCTGAGCGGAACATTTTTTCTAGGTGTTTGTTGACATACCGACGATTACTAGCTGTTTTCACTTTTAAATTTAGCTCGGAAGAACTCAGAGGATTCAAATTTAAAAAGCGCGCCACATTAAAAAATGTTAGGAGACTAAGCGCTTTGAATTTGTTTTCGTTTAATGATTCTCGCTATTTTATGAATGCAGTTGAATAGTGTCTCTAAAGAGTAAGAGGATAGGAAGTAATGTTGTAATCCTGTTTCAAAATGTAACAGCAAAACAGCAATAATTGCCCTAAGTGGCGTGGGTTTAACCCGCCCCGCCAAATCGATGAAACTCGTTAATCGAAGTAATGGATTCTATTCGATTTTAAACGATAGTAATTAAGCGATTGATATCGGTAATCGATAAATATCGAAGATCGAAAGAGTTGTGAGTATCAATTTGTTTCAATTTTCATCCATTTTATCGATTGTTAGTTGTAATCCTTTAATAATGATTTCAGACACGTTTACGCTACTACTGGCTACGAATTAGTAATTAAAAGTCTTACCTATTAATTGTCGATTTATTCATCGAGGACAAAATATTTACCCGTCCTTATTGTAAAATGGACACTGGTGGTAGCCCTTCACTACAGCCTCTAGTAATATGTTCATTTCGCCGGTCATTTGGCAGGCGTCTGTCACAACGCGCAACGCGATTGGCTGCGGTATTTATCAGGACAAGTTATACCATCTCGCGAGGTTGTCTAAATTTGCGTAATTTTTCGGTCATAAAGCCGAAAAAACAGTGAGCATGTTTAACTCGCTAACACAAGACGAGGTGTTTAACTGTATGTCTGGACTTTTCTGGGTTTATCTAGCTAAAATTGTCTCAGTGAAAACACAACTGCAGAGTCTTAAAGCCATTTTTCACTCAATGGATGATGTAATATTATCATGTTATAATTATGGAAGTTTGGCCGCTGAACACAATATGTATTAAACAGAAAAAATTATTGTTACAGAACGATAAACAGACCATTAAGGATGAAGAGTTTTCAGCTGTTCATTAAGCTCGCTGATCAAGTTTCAAATTAGAAAAGGTGGCTTGGTTTGCTGTGTTTAAGCCTGAGAAAGCACTTCTCGTGATTTAAACTATAACTAGTGTGAAATTTGTTATACCATTTAACAAAGTTATAAGTCACACTTAGCTTCACTTAGGTATGTTTTGCAAGTTAGTTTTTGTTGTTTTCCCTGTCAGCATGCACGGCAAAATTGTAAGTGAATTGCCTAACTCCCCCCTCCCCCCACATGGACGGCCAGGTGTCTTGCCTTTCATCTGAAACCTGCCCAGCACGTAGCCTTTAGGATCACTAAGGCAACCAAACCTTCCCACCACTTCAAAAGCATAATGCTTAGAGAGGAGGAAACAAACTACAGAATAATTTAAACAAGACAATGCCATTAACTTATTTAGCGTAAGGACTCGATTTTGCGCCCGGAACGCTTATATACTTATGTTTCTCAAATGAGGGCGCTTATTCGAAACAGGGCGTCTATTTCTTTTAGGTTGCGGAGCAAAACTCTCGAACCATAGAACAGGGACAGGGCACCTTATGAGTAACAATTAGCAAACGTGTACGATCACGGCTCCTTCTGGCAATCCCTTTATTCAACCTTTATTCAAAAATTTGTAGTCCTGCAAGGGGGTTACCATCACGCAAGACGCCTAAATAAAATGAAATAAAATTACAAGTAATGACGTTTAAAAAATGGATTAAAAATTAAAAATTCGACAGCATCAATCATTATGCAATATTAAAATTCATCTTTGACTAAAATACTTAATAAGACTTTTTTGAAACGATCTGCGGATTTAATGTTAACAATTTCGCTTGGTAACGCATTCCAGTGCTTGACAGTTCTACAAAAATAACTATTCTTATAAGTCTCAGTATTTGGCAGGAGTTCAATAAACTTGTTTTGGCTAGAGTTCTGCGCTTCATAACATAGTCTGGGAAGGCCAGGCCGCCATCACCATGAATTGCTTTGTGGAATAAGGTTAACCGCGAGATTGTTCTTCGTACCTTCAGGGGTAAAATTCGTTCAAGAGGTTTGTAACTGTTCCTGGTTCCCGCGTGTAACAGTTTTTAACGAAGTGTGCGTCTCTTCTTTGTACTCCCTCTATTTGTTTGACGTGTTTTTTTAAGTGTGGGTCCACACACTTGAGTGCTACACTGTAAATTCGAGGGTAAATAAAGTTTATTGATTGATTGATTGATTGAACTGAGCTGGCGTATTCCACGTGAGGCCTTACAAGGGCTTTGTAGGCTGCCTTTTTCACTCCCTCGGGGCCACTGCTCAGGTTTCGCCGGAGAAATCCGAGAGATCGATTGGCCTTCATGACTTTGTTATTTACATGCTGGCCCCAATCGAGGTTTCTGGACAATTCTACGCCTAGATAGGGGTGGTGGGTGACCGAATCTAAAACTTTTCCCATAAGGACGTAGTTAGACTCAACAGGATTTTGCTTCCTCCATATTCTTAAGACGTGGCATTTGTTGGGGTTAAATTTCATTTGCCATTTCTGGGCCCATTCTTGAAGTGCTGTTTGATCTGACTGCAGTTTGACGGCATCATTATAAGACTCAATAGCGCTGTAAATCAAAGTATCATCAGCGAAAAGACGCATCCTAGAGGTACAATTTTCTCCTAGGTCATTAATGTATAAGAGAAACGAGAGGGGGCCGAGAACTGTCCCCTGGGGGACCCCTAATAGAACTGGCACTTCCGGGGACTTGTACCCATCAACGACAACTGTCTGGTTTCGACGCGTAAGCCATTGTGTTAGCCAGGTGTTAAAAATACCACGTATGCCATAGTAGCGCAGTTTCATTAGGAGGCGCTGGTGCGGAACCGAATCGAAAGCTTTCGAAAAGTCCATGATTATTAAGTCAGTTTCCTCACCTTTGTCAAGGGAGCGATCGAGCTATTTCTTCTACTGTACAAATTAACTGAGTTTCAAATGACAATTTTTTTCGAAAGCCATGTTGATAGTTAACTAGCTTTAAACTAACTTTGAACCAAGGTGAGACATCATTTCGTGAAAGATAATGTGTTCCATAATTTTACAAGGCACCGACGTAAGAGAGATCGGTCGATAATTGTCCACTTGACTTCTGTTACCTTTCTTGTGTACTGGTAAAACAGTCGCTTTGAGCCAGGCCTGAGGAACCGAGCCTTTATGGAGAGACTGCGTGAACAGAAACTGTAGAAAAGGAGCTAATTCAGTAGCAGCCTCCTTTAATATGTAGCAAGGGATTCCATCAGATCCACTAGCTTTTTTACAGTCCACCTTCTGAAGAAGTTTCGTTATCCCCGCCGTGCTAAAGTGGATCGGTGGTATGTCAGCATACGGGCGGTAGCTTCAGGGGTCTTCTTTCGTGAAGACAGACTTGAAATAATTACTTAGTAAATTGGCTTTCTCTCGACTGTCGGATACGATATAATCGTTGATCTCCAAGGGAGCGACACCAACATTTTCTTGCCTTTTTGATCTTATGTAGGTCCAAAATTGTTTGGTCATCGTAGGTTTACGAGTTTCAAGGTCCTTGTCATCGGTCTTTAGGAGGTCCAACAAGTACTTATCATGTGCGAGACTCGACCTTTTCTTAGTTGCTTTGCGTAGATCTTTAAACTTCTTCCAATCAGCTTGGCTATTTGATTTGCGTGCTCTGTTGTATAGTTTCTGTTTCTTACGTATCATACGCTTGATTGAGCTATTCATCCACAGTACATTCCAGCGTGATCCCAGTTTCTTTTGTGGAAAGTCTCTTTCATCACCTCAAGAACTGTTTCTGTGAGGAAGTAGTAGTTTTCGAAGACTTGTCGGTTGTTAGTAAGATAATTATCTTGGCGTATTTTCAAATCATTTCTAGCCGATGCTATGTCGCCCTTTTTAAACAGGAAGACTTTCCTCCCTTGATTTGGAGCTCGAAACTTGTTTATGAAGGCGAATTTTCGTCTGCTATAGGAGGTCATCTTGTATACAAAGCGACATGGTCTTCAACTAAGGACTAACAGTGACATTCAACGCTTTACCCTTCCAATCATTCCGACAAATAAGAGCAACACCTCACCATAATATAGCCCTCTGGGCAATTCGAATATGACAAGATTATCACACTCAACCATGACTCCGAAACAAAACAGTCCTCGAATAAAAGCCGTCCCTCGAAATTCGAATAATCGCCTCCTTAGACCGAAATGTTTAAAATAATCGCCTCCCTCCAATAATCGCCCACCCCCACCCCTCTCGCCATCTTCTCGTGCCTTTATCCCCTCCCTGTCAAGTTCCAGTGGAGCCTGATCCAGCAAAACTGATTAGTGACAATTCAAGCTCGGGGTGCCGAGGATGTTGGCATTGAAAATTAATCAAATAACCAAAATAATTTGGAACATTTAAAAAGCCCATGTTCCGTTTATTTGATGTTATCAATTTTCGGTTTAATGGAATAATAAAATAAAATATTTAGGGCACGACCTCCAGTGAGCAATATTTAAATTAATCGCCCCCTTAATTAATCGACTCCTTTTTGCTGGAAAACAATAGCCATCGCCGCCGGCTATTATTCGAGGAAATACTAAGCTCAGCATAAAGAGCCGGAACTGCATCAGGTTTCGCCAGGCACCGGGCATTCAAAACCATACACTTTGGTCTTAAGTTTGGTGCTGTAGGCCCTTTGTTGATTTTAAAAATCGAGAGCGTTCGCGGCCGTTCACTCGGGCTGCGTGAATTAGGGTCAACCTTGTCACGATAGAATGGAACAATAGTCGGTGATTGAATAGCGGCGCTTATTGGTATTGGGGCGCTTGGAATGCCCGGGTGGGGGTTACTTCTTAGTAGTAGGCTAATGGGTATGTGCTGCTGGATTGGGCCGCATTTTCACGACTGGATTGACTATTATGGGGTTACATTTTTATAAGAGTTACTGGAACGGGGTCGCACATTTGCAGGATTTTGG